AAAAATGCACAAAGTTTCCTGTGAGGGGTAGGTTTAGGTGTAGGGTTGGTGCGTGTGTGTTTGTGTGTGTGTGTGTGTGAGAGTGAGTGAGTGAGTGTGTGTATGAGTGTGTGTGTGTGTGTGAGTGTGTGCGAGTGTGAGTGTGTGTGTGTTTGTGTTTGTGTGTGTGTGACGAACTCTCAGCCTTTCCACTGACCGTCTGTCTGTCAAACACACATCACCATCACAACAACAACCTCTCAGCGGACAATACTGTGAAAGCAGTCCGAGGTCAAAGGTCAAATGTAACCCCCGGCCACACTGAGACGGCATGTTTGTCTTCACACGTGCTGACAGACGGATGGTTATAGTTCATGACGCAGACGCAGGTCTCAGAGTCAACATGAAACGCTTTTCTCAAACCAGTTTACTTCCATAATGAGATGAACGGATATTCAAAGACACAGGACAGGATTTAATTTGATTCGTATAACTATTGTACGACGACTACATTTATGAGATTAAACTATTATGAAATTAAAATGTTGGTCAGTTTCATTATAGTAACAGATTTAAATGTCAGTCGGTCTCGTTTTATTAGAGATTTAAACGCTGGTAAGTTTCCTTCGATTAGAGATTTATACGTCGGTCGGTTTTGTACTTTTAAAAGATTTTTTTTGATTTGAAGATTTAAATGTCACTCAGTTTTGTTCGATTAGATTTAATTGATGGCTGTTTTTTCGTTTAAGAGATTTAGATGTCGGACAGTTTTGTTCCATTAAGATATTTAAATACTAGTCGGTTTTGTTCAAAGTGACAGTAAGTGATTATCAAAAATAAAATCAAAAATTAAGATTGGATGCCGCAGGTGAAAAAATGCAATTTTGATGAAAGCTTATTTATAAAAACTGTGTCTTATTGAAAACTAACATTTTGAAATAATTCTTCAAAATCAGAAAACACAGTCAAATAAAATGCTCTCTCTATATATATGCAATCCTAATCTAAATGAATGCCACTGTGAAACAAAAACAAACACAAATGTGAACCTGGAGCACAAAACCAGTCATAACGGTCCATTTATCGAAATTGAGATTTATGCAACACCTGAAAGCGGAACAAATGAGCTTTCCATTGATGTATGGTTTGTTAGGATAGGACAATATTTGGCTGAGATACAACTATTTGAAAATCTGGAATCTGAGGGTGCAAAAAAATCTAAATATTGAGAAAATCATCTTTAAAGTTGTCCAAATGAAGTTCTTAGCAATGCATAATACTAATCAAAAATTAAGTTTTGATATATTTACGGTAGGAAATTTACCAAATGTGTTCATGGAACATGATCTTAATATCCTAATGATTTTTGGCATCAAAGAAAAATCTGTAATTTTGACCCATACAATGTATTGTTGGCTATTTCTACAAATATACCCCAGCGACTTAAGACTGCTTTTGTGCTCCAGGGTCGCATATACAAAGCTGCTTCTGTGTGCAAATATGAAAAGTGAAATGTTAAAGCATCTGAATCCACAGCTGTTCCAATAATCCCTTTCATTTAATCCCGGAATTCCAGTCTCAGGAATTCTGACTCATGGCTTTTTTTATCTGCTCACGCTCCTCTCTGTCCCGACATGCCCCAGCAGTCCCAGGATCCCACCTGGCTGCATCAGCGCTGGTCATTATCCAGCGACTCCGGCGGGACGAGGGCCGCATTCCTGCCATTCCACCGCAAACCGCCTCTAATGGGCTCTCAGCGGATAAAGTGTCTGCTGTACAGTGAGGAATAAACGGCCTACTGTAGCTAGAGATGAGATTAGAGCCCACAGAGACGGCCAGCGCTCCTGCTGACTCACTGAGATCCGTGTCAGAAAAACCCTCTGCAAACTCACACCAGCAGCTCCTGAGAGACTATTAAATTATAAATGATGGGAAAACCATTTTGCCCACCAGCAATGCAATGCAATAAAAATAAATAAATAAAATAAAATAAAATAAAATAAAACAAAACAATTCAGACCAAAAGCTGAACACTCAAGAATAATAAAAAAAAAAATGAACAAAAAAAAATGAACTAAAATAATTTGATACTATAAATAATAAAACAAAGAATATAAAAAAAATTGAAAATAATAAAAGAAGAAAAAAATCAGACCAAAAGATCAATAGCCAAAAAGAATAATAAAAATAGAATTTATAATACTATAAATAAAAGAAAAATAAGAACATATGAAAAAAATAGATTAAAAAAACAATAATAAAAGAAGAAAAATTTAGACCAAGAAGTCTATAAAAATTAAACTATAAATAAAAGTAAGAATATAAACAATATGCTCACATGAGCAGCTGAGGGTGTAAATGATTCCATTACAATGAAATAATAAATGTTGTGTCCTAAACTAGGTGGAAATAATATTTTGCACAAATTAAATTAAATAAAATAATAAAATAAAATAAAAATCAGACCAAAAAAATAATAATAATAATTAAAAAAAAAGAAAAAAGAAATACATAAATAAAAATAATATTAAAATATACAAAACAATAATAATACAATAAGTCAACAACTATAAAATAAAAAATAAAAATACAACAATTTATTTAAACTATAAATAAAAGATGAAAAATAAAATAAAATTAATTCAAATTAAAGACGACAAATTTGGTGAAAAATGTAAAATCAAAAAGAATAAATTATAAATTAAATAATTGATAACACTATAAACAATAAACAATTATGTAAAAATAAGAAGAATTCATACCAAAGGGTGAACAGTCAAAAAGAATGAAACAAAATAAATTAAAAAAACTAAAATATCACATTTTAAACAATAATAGAATATAAAAGCTATTATATAAAACATAATAATAAAAGAAGAACTTAGACCAAAAGCTGAACAGTTCTTACTGCATTCACACAAAAACACTGGAAAGAAAAAAAAAGGAGAAGCAGATGAGCAGGAATAAGATCTGCGGGGTTTGACGTCACACACACTGCGGTTACGCCGCTAAATACACACTCAATGAAACGCATGATTCTAAACATCTCTAGACATGAAATGAACTGAAAACTGCTTGCTGAGATAACATCCCACGCTTTCATGCTTCTGTTCTAGTTTAAGAGCGAACGAGTGAATATGATTGATGTTTTAGCGCAGCTGCTCAAACTAACGAGGCGCGTTTAATGTTTGAAATAAGTGTTCACGGTCAGTAGAGCGTCCATCACATGATCAGCAGAGCTCACGAATGTTTCCGAGATCCAAGAATCCAAATGCAAAGCACCTTAAAACAACCTGAAACTGTCTTAGCACCCACTCAGACCACCCCAGAAACCCTCCAGAACAAAGAATTCAAACCAGAAGCTGAATAGTCACAAATAATAAAATAAATCATTTACAATGCCACAGACAATAAAAGAACAAAAACAATTCTATAAAAATAATAAAAGTAGAAAACTTCACACCACAATGTGAAGTCAAAAAGATTAAAAAGTAAAAAAAATGATAAATTAAAAATTAAAAATAAAGGTTTTTATATACTAAAAGTAAAAGTAAGAATATAAAAACAATAATTATATACAAAATAATAAAAGAAAAAAAATCTGCCCAAAAGAATAAAATAAAATCTATAATACTATAGAATAATCTAAAATATAATATGAAACATAATAATATAAATAATATAAAAAATGTCTAAAATAATGTATATAAAAACTCAAAAACAAGTCAAAAAGAATAAAATAAACTAATATGTAATTCTAAAAATAAAAATCAATTATATAAAAGATATATAATAAAAAATACTTTTCAACAAAAGGTAATAATTTATAATACTACTAATAAAAAATTCAAAAAGAATCAAATTAAAACAAAAATAATTTATAATACTAAAGAATAATAATAAGGATAAAAGAAAAAAGAATAAAACAATATTTAATACTAAAAAATTATACAAAAACAATTACATAAAAATAATAAGAGAAAAAAATACGACACAATGAATTCAAAAACAATAAAACTTGAATTAAAATAATAAAAGGATGTCTATAATACTATACGACAATATAAACACAATTATATAAACCTAGCAACCACACAGAACATCTTAGCAACCACCCAAGACACCCTAGCAACCACATAGTAACCACATAAGACACTCTAGCAACCACCCAAAGCATCTCAGCAACCACATAGTAACCACCTGAGACACCCTAGCAACCACATAGTAACCACACAAGACACCCTAGCAACCACCCAAAGCATATCAGCAACCACATAGTAACCACCTGAGACACCCTAGCAACCACATAGTAACCACACAAGACACCCTAGCAACCACCCAAAGCATATCAGCAACCACATAGTAACCACCTGAGACACCCTAGCAACCACATAGTAACCACACAAGACACCCTAGCAACCACCCAAAGCATATCAGCAACCACATAGTAACCACCTGAGACACCCTAGCAACCACATAGTAACCACACAAGACACCCTAGCAACCACCCAATTCCCAGACGGAATGCTGAAATGTGGAAGTCGGCCTGAATTCTGAGTCGCGTCTCTCGAATGCAGTCGGACCCCCCAGGCTGACGTGCCTCTTTCCCACCATGAGCCGCTCTCTCTCGGGTCCCGCCGGCCGGTTTCAGGTTCTGCTGAGCCATTCGAGGTCTTCTGGAGAGAGTGGACGGGCCGCAGCCGCGGGTCAGCGGTGATGGGGATTCGGTGTCCAGAGGAGCTTTGTTCAACCTCAACAGCTCAGAGGAATGGACTTCATTACGCTCACAGTCACTATCTGTGCTCTTTTACCACAATCAGTCCTGAACACAGAGAGACAAAAGACTGAACAAACACGTGAACCGTGAAAGCTCGTCTATCACCAGATACTCCCGCTGGAGCTCAGCCATTTCAGCCATTTCTAAACGACACTCTCACCATTACTGAACAACAAGTGAGTGCTAACTAACACTAAAAACTACAACCAGAACAAAACATTTAAATTAAATTAAATATTAAAAAAATATTTCAGCTTAAAAAATTTAATAAATAAAAATAAATAATAATAAAATAAATGTCAGCTTCATCAATTTAAACTGATGTACTACAGTAACTAAAACTGAAATAAAAATGACTAAAAACTACATAGAAATATTTAAAGAAACAATAAATAATACAAAAAAAAAATAAAAATCACAGAACCCCACAGCAAAACTAAAAAAAAAAATAAAAAAAAAAATGTTTAAGAAAATGGTAACGGTTACATAAGAATATCTAAATAAATTATATAGATATATATATAAACAATTCTCTTCAAATAAAAATACCAACATGCATTGCAATAATCACAAACTTGCATCAAGATGCCAGAGTAAAAATTAAAAAAAAAAAAAGTCAATTAACAACATAAAATATATTACTAAAATATATAGTAATATAGTACAAACAAGAATATCCAGAAGATATAGTATATTTTCGTGCATAAATATTAATATTCAATTAATGAACTGGTGCTCCTAATTTCACCTAAAATTTCTGTGCAATATCTAGTTTTGTGCACATTTGAGTACAAATGTTAGATTAACAGCATGTCAACATCAAACTCCACTGGAATTAACTGAGCGTTAGTCAAGGTAATTTATCCATTTTTAAATCAGTCACTTGGAGAATTTCATGTAGGAGTATTTTGGCTAATATGATAATGCTTTCAGGGGTTTTTACAGACACATTTGACCACATTTAACACCGTCAAGCCTGAAAAATGAAATAATAGTCTTTTTTTCATGAAACAATTTATTGAACCTTGACTTAGAAAAAAAAGTCTGTATGTGTGTTTTTTGTTGCATATCATATTTGATGCATCAGGCTTTTATGGTTCATATATTCTGATACAGTGAGAATATGGAGGAAAGAACAGCTCAGTTTTACTCAGAGACTCAATTTGGTGCAGATACTGATATGTATTTGGACAAAAAGTGATGAAATTCTGATGCTTGTACTGTAAGTGATTGAGAGCTGAAGAAATAAAGGCTCCTCAGAAGATGTGAGATGTTCTGGAGCCTCTGCTGAGGAACAGTGAAAGTAAAGCTTCTGGAAACAAACGCTCCTCAAAAGATATTGAGGATCAGATTTGAGACTCTAAAACATGATTGATGGAGAATCAAGTAAAGCTGAGCTGCTTCAGTCCAGTAAGTGTTCATCTGGAGATATTACTGCAGTTCTTCTGACCTTTACTTGATCAAAACCAGTCAAGATCTGACTACAGTTACACTAAAAGAGCTTTTACTGGATGAAACCTCTAAACTATCAATCAGAGACAGAAGGCATGCAGGAGATTGTGTGTGACACATTTACAGGCCTTCGAAATATGAAACAATAGGCTTTCTAGGGTTTTCCCACCAAATTAGCTCGGAACATAAATTCAAATTCAAGTCAGCAGATTCCAAACAATAAACTCCAGAGAAAGGTCACCGTTACCATGGATACAAGCACAGAGCATTCCGAAATGAGCCATTAAACATTCAGTTTCCCAGAATTCCGTCTACAAATAACGAGTCAACCAATAAACCGATTAACTGCTGTAACACGATCAAGTGATTGAGAGAAATGTATTCCGATCGTGGTTTTATAACGGCTGAATAACAGGACGGCTCGTTCTGATTGGCCGCCGCCGCAGGTGAGCGTCAGCAGAGATTGCAAGAGCCTGCAGAAACACACACATCTGAAACGAACACAAACAGCAGGAAAACCAAACATTCTTCCCAGACACCTCCAAACCCCCCGGAGACGAACAAAACCCGAGCTGCGCTCTGGATGCGACCCGCAGCGAGCGTGTGAGCGATTAGCCGTAAATATTAAGCGAGATCTGGCAGGAATGTGTTTTCCACCAGCGCAACGGTTCGGGTCATTTTATCACGCCTCTTCATCTCACCAACGCAGACCGAGGAAATGAAGCGCTTTAAACACACACACACATGCAGCGCTGATAAATAAACGCAGCGATCCGCAAGCGTTTCTGCCTGACGGCACACAAAACGCTCCGGCGGTTGATGGACGGAAAGTTTCCAGGTTTGGATTCGGGGTTAAAGGTCATAAAAACATGAAAAATGTTCATCATTCCAAACCTACATGACTTTCTTTCTTTCACGGAACATAGAAGAACATATTTTGAGAAAGGTTTTTGTCTATTTTAAGCAATTCATTACAATCCCAAAATAATCAATAAAATAAATAATAAAATAAATAATAAAAATCACAAAACCATATGAAATTACTAAAACTACTTAAAATTAAAACAAAAAATACAAAGATAATTTAAACAAATTTTAAAAATTTTAAAGATTTGTGGCGCTTTTGTAGGGCAGTTTACGAATACACAGGAAAATGACGACAGTGAACTGTGTTAATGTAGTATATAAAATATGTACTTTTTCATATATATATATATATATATATATATATATATATGGACCCCACTGACTTTGTATGGACAACAAAACAAGGAGATTTTTCAAAACATCTTGACATGAGGGTGAATAAATTATGACAATCTTTATTTTTAGGGGACCTGTGGTGAGAAAGGGGTTATGGGATAGCTCTCAGCTGGCTTATGAGTGAGTCTGTGAAGGGTGTGATGACTTCATCTCTCACCTGTGCAGGTAAACAGGACCACCCATGAGTGTGTGTGTGTGTGTGTGTGTGTGTGAGTGTGTGTGTGAGTGAGCGTGTGTGTGTGTGTGTGTGTGTGTGCGCGAGTGCGTAGTGTGAGTGTGTGTGTGTGACGCAAATGCTAAATGCTAGATCTCAAACTATTTGTTTAATGAAACACATCACCTGCCCTCCACAGCTCACTACAAGATTTACTGTAGTCTGATGACACACTGCTCTGTGCAGTTTATCTGAGTAATTAATACACATGAACATGACTTACATGAGTTCACTTTTCTAGACACATATTTTTCTGGGATGTTAAGCTTTCACAGTAGTGCCGGTAAAACAACCCGTGAATCATATTTTATCTCTTCAGAGGAAAAATTAATCTTCAAACTAATTTCAAGTAAATGAGTTCCTCTTCTAATTTTGAACTGTCTAAAGGAGAAGAGGAGTGGACAACATTCTTTAGCTGCTGGGGTGGGTGTGTGTGTGTGTGCGTGAGTGTGTGTGTGTGTGTGTGTGTGTGTGTGCAACTTCATAGCAACAAGACAGAAACTGCCCAGAACACCCTAGCAACCACATAGCAACATACTAGAAATGACATAGCAACACAAAACCACCCAGAACACCCTAGCAACTGCATAGCAACACATTTAAAACGAACCTGAACACCATAGCAACCACATAGCAACATACTAGAAATGACATAGCAACACAAAACCACCCAGAACACCCTAGCAACTGCATAGCAACACATTTAAAACGAACCTGAACACCATAGCAACCACATAGCAACATACTAGAAATGACATAGCAACACAAAACCACCCAGAACACCCTAGCAACTGCATAGCAACACATTTAAAACGAACCTGAACACCATAGCAACCACATAGCAACATACTAGAAATGACATAGCAACACAAAACCACCCAGAACACCCTAGCAACTGCATAGCAACACATTTAAAATGACCCTGAACACCATAGCAACCACATAGCAACACAAAACCACCCAGAACATCCTTTAAAAACCCCCAGAACACCCTAGCAACTGCATAGCAACACATTTAACCCCCCCAGAACATCATAGCAACCACATAGCAACACAAAAACACCCAGAACATCCTAGCAACTCATTTAAAACCACCAAGAACACCCTAGCAACCGCATAGAAACACAAAACCACCCAGAACTGCCTAGCAACTGCATAGCAACACAAAACCACCCAGAACACCCTAGCAACTGCATAGCAACACATTTAAAACCACCCAGAACACCCTAGCAACTGCATAGCAACTCCAAACCACCCAGAACACCCTAGCAACCGCATAGCAACATATTTAAAACCACCCAGAACACCCTAGCAACCGCATAGCAACACATTTTAAATTACCCAGAACACCCTAGCAACCACATAGACACAAAGCCACCCAGAACACCCTAGCAACCGCATAGCAACACATTTTAAATTACCCAGAACACCCTAGCAACCACATAGACACAAAGCCACCCAGAACACCCTAGCAACCGCATAGCAACACATTTTAAATTACCCAGAACACCCTAGCAACCACATAGACACAAAGCCACCCAGAACACCCTAGCAACCGCATAGCAACACAAAACCACCCAGAACACCCTAGCAACTGCATAGCAACACATTTAAAACCCCCAAGAACACCCTAGCAACCACATAGCAACACAAAACCACCCAGAACACCCTAGCAACTGCATAGCAACACATTTAAAAACCCCTAGAACACCCTAGCAACCACATAGCAACACAAAACCACCCAGAACACCCTAGCAACTGCATAGCAACACATTTAAAACCACCCAGAACACCCTAGCAACTGCATAGCAACTCCAAACCACCCAGAACACCCTAGCAACCGCATAGCAACATATTTAAAACCACCCAGAACACCCTAGCAACCGCATAGCAACACATTTTAAATTACCCAGAACACCCTAGCAACCACATAGAAACACAAAGCCACCCAGAACACCCTAGCAACCGCATAGCAACACCCTAGCAACTGCATAGCAACACATTTAAAAACCCCCAGAACACCCTAGCAACTGCATAGCAACTCCAAACCACCCAGAACACCCTAGCAACCGCATAGCAACACCAAACCACCCAGTAGA